GGTGGCAAGGGAGTGAGTGCCAGTGCGGTGCGTGCGTGCCCGTGCGTAGCGTTCCTGCGTGCGTGCCAGTGCTTGCTGCCCCGTGCGTGCGTAGCGTGCTTGCGTGCCCGTGGCCTGCGCGCGTGCGTGCCCGTGCGTGCGTGCCAGTGCGTGCTTGCCACCGTGAGTGAGTGAGTGAAAGTGAGTGAGTGAGTGAGTGAAAGTGAGTCAGTGAGTGAAAGTGAGTCAGTGAGTGAAAGTGAGTGAGTGAGTGATTGAGTGAGTGAGTGAGTGTGAGTGAGTGAGTGTGAGTGAGTGAGTCAGTGAGTGAGAAAGTGAGTGGGTGAGTGAGTGAGTGAGTGAAAGTGAGTGAAAGTGAGTGAAAGTGAGTGAGTGAAAGTGAGTGAGTGAGTGAAAGTGAGGGAGTGAGTGAAAGTGAGTGAGTGAGTGAAAGTGAGTGAGTGTGAAAGTGAGTGAGTGAGTGTGAGTGAGTGAAAGTGAGTGTGAGTGAGTGTGAGTGAGTGTGAGTGAGTGTGAGTGTGAGTGAGTGTGAGTGAGTGTGGGTGAGTGTGAGTGAGTGTGAGTGAGTGAAAGTGAGTAAAAGTGAATGTGAGTGAGTGAAAGTGAGTGTGAGTGAGTGAAAGTGAGTGAAAGTGAGTGAAAGTGAGTGAGTGAAAGTGAGTGAGTGAAAGTGAGTGAGTGAGTGAGTGAGTGAGTGAAAGTGAGTGAGTGAGTGAAAGTGAGTGAGTGAAAGTGAGTGAGTGAAAGTGAGTGAGTGAAAGTGAGTGAGTGAAAGTGAGTGAGTGAAAGTGAATGAGCGAGTGAGTGAAAGTGAGTGAGTGAAAGTGAGTGAGTGAAAGTGAGTGAGTGAAAGTGAGTGAGTGAGTGTGAGTGAGTGAGAGTGAGAGTGAGAGTGAGAGTGAGAGAGAGTGAGAGTGAGAGTGAGAGTGAGAGTGGGAGTGAGAGTGAGAGAGAGAGTGAGAGTGAGAGTGTGAGTGTGAGCGTGAGTGTGAGTTTGAGTGTGAGTGTGAGTGTGAGAGTTAAAGAGTGAGTGAGTGTGAGTGAGTGAGTGTGAGTGAGTGAGTGAGTGAGAGTGAGTGAGTGAGAGTGAGTGAGTGAGAGTGAGTGAGAATAGTGAGAGTGAGTGAGAGTGAGTGAGAGCGAGTCAGAGTGAGTCAGAGTGAGTGAGAGTGAGAGTGAGTGAGAGTGAGTGTGAGTGAGAGTGAGTGAGAGTGAGTGAGAGTGAGTGAGAGTGAGTGAGAGTGAGTGAAAGTGAATGAGTGAGTGAGAGTGAGTGAGAGTGAGTGAGAGTGAGTGTGAGTGTGAGTGAGTGAGAGTGAGTGAGAGAGTGAGTGAGTGCGTGAGTGAGTGAGTGAATGAGTGAGTGAATCAGTGAGTCAGAGAGTCAGGGAGTGAGTGAGTGATTGAGTGAGTGATGTGGGTGAGTGAAAGTGAGTGAGTGAAAGTGAGTGAGTGCACGCAAAAGAGACATCCGACCCACGCAAAAGAGACATCCGACCCCTTGGCAGTGCACATTGTGCCACGCCTGCCACGCAAAAGAGGCGGAGACCCAAGGGATGCCAGGGCGTACATCCGACCCCTTGGCAGGGCACATTGTGCCACGCCTGCCACGCAAAAGAGACGGAGACCCAAGGGACGCCAGGGCGTAATCCGACTCCTTGGCAGTGCACATTGTGCCACACCTGCCACGCAAAAGAGGCGGAGTCCCAAGGGATGCCAGGGCGTACATCCGACCCTTGCCAATGGACATTGTCCCACGCCTGCCACGCAAAAGAGGCGGAGACCCAAGGGACGCCAGGGCGTACATCCGAGCCCTTGGCAGTGCACATTGTGCCACGCCTGCCACGCAAAAGAAGCGGAGACCCAAGGGACGCCAGGGCGTACATCCGAGCCCTTGGCAGTGCACATTGTCCCACGCCTGCCACGCAAAAGAGATTGAGACCCAAGGGACGCCAGGGCGTACATCCGACCCCTTGGCAGTGCACATTGTGCCACGCCTGCCACGCAAAAGAGGCGGAGACCCAAGGGACGCCAGGGCGTACATCCGAGCTCTTGGCAGTGCACATTGTGCCACGCTTGCCACGCAAAAGAGGCGGAGACCCAAGGGACGCGGCAGTGCACATTGTGCCACGCTTGCCACGCAAAAGAGGCCGGAGAGGCACTGGCAGGTGCACATTGTGCACGCCTGCCACGCAAGAGGCGGAGACCAGGTGCCGCCAGGTGCGTACTCCGCCCCTTGGCAGTGCACATTGTGCCACGCCTGCCACGCAAAAGAGGCGGAGACCCAGGGGACGCCAGGGCGTACATCCGACCCCTTGGCAGTGCACATTGTGCCACGCCTGCGACGCAAAAGAGGCGGAGACCCAAGGGACGCCAGGGCGTACATCCGACCCCTTGGCAGTGCACATTGTGCCACGCCTGCGACGCAAAAGAGGCGGAGACCCAAGGGACGCCAGCGCGTACATCCGACCCCTTAGCAGTGCACATTGTGCCTCGCCTGCCACGCAAAAGAGGCGGAGACCCAAGGGATGCCAGGGCGTACATCCGACCCCTTGGCAGTGCACATTGTGCCACGCCTGCCACGCAAAAGAGGCGGAGACCCAAGGGACGCCAGGGCGTACATCCGAGCCCTTGGCAGTGCACATTGTGCCACGCCTGCCACGCAAAAGAGGCGGAGACCCAAGGGACGCCAGGGCGTACATCCGACCCCTTGGCAGTGCACATTGTGAGTGAGTGAGTGAGTGAATGAGTGAGTGAGTGTGTGTGTGTGTGGATCATCTGAAAAGATGTAAAACTTCTAAGCGATGGTTTGGCTGTTTCGTTTCTACTGACTCGTTTTTTCAATCATGAACTGGATTTTCCAATTCAGCAGGGGGCCGCTGGGGAACATTGCAGTCAGCGGCCAACGAAGACGCTGCAATGTTTCTGTGAAAACGTACCTGCAATTTTCCAGTTTTTCGTCAATGGCAACCGGCTAAGCCAAGAACCGGCATGTCGTTTTTCCAACAGTTTTCAAACTACTGTACGGTTTTCGCAATCTGACTGAGCTGCATCAGAACAAGTAAATCCTTCGAGCAAGGACGTAGAAAGATTTCTTCGCACAGTTTCTCACTTCCAATCATCAAACCATTCCTGTCAGGTTTAACTGAAGTGTTTTTGCACGTGCGATGCATTCCACATCAGTAATTCGATAAGATGTTTCTGAGCAAGTGTGTCACTCATGCCGATATCCGTCAAGGTGGTATGAGCCCTTCGGGGAAAGCCTTTCTAGGCTAACAATTGACGGTAAAAAGATGTCTGAATTTACACTTTTGAATTAGTAATTCGTTTAAGTAAAGTGAACAGCCGGCCTTTTTTCCTTGTCTCACCCGTCGATGTCGTTGTGTTGAACCGCTGGCCGCTGTGCTTGGCCTCACCCTTTTCCTGTTCTCATTTGTCGATGTCGATGTGTTGAACAGCTGGCCGCTTTTCCTGGCCTCACCATTTTCATTGGACAGCCAATGCATAGTCTTAAGCTGCGACAACAACCTTCCTGTTGTTTCAAGAGCCAGCCACTCCGCAGCCATTTACACATGATCAGGTAACAGGACATGCTTTCAAGGTGTGGTATCTTTCTTTTTTGGTTTCTCGGTGAGGTTGAAATTGTGCACCTAATTCAGGGGTTGAACACGTAAGCCGTCCAGAGGGTTGTGACTTGAATGCCGAGGGCCTTTGAGCCTTATCACGAATCTTGCAGGCAATGTGGATGCATCTTTTCATTAACTAGTTCCCCATGGGTCCCTTATTTCATGTGTTCCTGCGTTCTCCTCTCTCCAGGTAGGTTGGGTTCTGCGCGTGCTGAGGTAGGTGTAGGTTCGCTGTGGTAGGTTGGTTCAGGCGCGTCCGTCCTTCCCCCCCCCTCCGCTGGTCTCTTTCCGTTTCCGTCTGCCTTCGCTTTTCTTTTTCCTTGCCTTTTCAGGGTTTGCCCGTGGTGGGCCAGGTTTCCTTGTGTTGGTGTTTTCTCTTTCCCTCTGCGTTGCGTTCCCCTCTTCGCGTCCTGGTTAAGTAACTTTCATCTCATTTTCATCTTCACCTCATCTTCATTTCCCTTCATTTTCATTTTCATTTCACTGTCCGGACCTTAATTTTTCACCCTCCTGCGGGAGGGTGTGTGTGTGTGTGTGGATCATCTGAAAAGATGTAAAACTTCTAAGCAATGGTTTGGCTGTTTCGTTTCTACTGACTCGTTTTTTCAATCATGAACTGGATTTTCCAATTCAGCAGGGGGCCGCTGGGGAACATTGCAGTCAGCGGCCAACGAAGACGCTGCAATGTTCCTGTGAAAACGTACCTGCAATTTTCCAGTTTTTCGTCAATGGCAACCGGCTAAGCCAAGAACCGGCATGTCGTAATTCCAACAGTTTTCAAACTACTGTACGGTTTTCGCAATCTGACTGAGCTGCATCAGAACAAGTAAATCCTTCGAGCAAGGACGTAGAAAGATTTCCTCGCACAGTTTCTCACTTCCAATCATCAAACCATTCCTGTCAGGTTTAACTGAAGTGTTTTTGCACGTGCGATGCATTCCACATCAGTAATTCGATAAGATGTTTCTGAGCAAGTGTGTGTGTGTGTGAGGAGGACGGGCGAGGAGGAGGAGGATGAGGAGGAGGACGCGGATACAGAACTAAAAACAAAAACCCCACACGTCAATGTGGGGAAATATTCCGATTAATGTGGGTAAAACCAGAATAAAAATTTCCCCAAATCGCCAAAAATAGGTGGTATGGACCATTTCCAAATGGAAGGTTTATGACATTGTTTTACCCACATTATTCACGATTTTCCCAGTCTTCAACATGTACCCTCTGGTAATTTAACATAGCTATTGAAAATGACCATTTATAGTGGATTTTCCCATTAAACCGGGTGATTTATCATAGTTATGTAAACGTTTCCCGGAGGGTACTCCATGAACCGTAAAAGAAACTCATCTTCACCTGCGCTCTGAGTTCCGCCACCCTCCAGCAAGGTGGGTCCGGGCCCCTGAGAACATCCAGAGGTCAAAACCCATGAAAAACCAGGTCAAAACCAATTGAAGGTTTTCTATGATTTATATAAACGTGATTTAAAAACATCATTAATTTTGAAATGTTCGTTCAACCATGCTGAACAAACAATAAAAGGGGATATCCGCCGACCCCAGTGACAAGCGGGGGGCGCGCGTCAGAGAAAAAGCGTCGTAAAGTAACGTCCGGCACTGGCATTCTGCAGCCCGAGACCCTTTGCAACTGGCAGCTCCATGCTGTTTTGCTGGCATTCTGCAACCTGAGACTCTTTGTTTGAAACTGGCAGCTCCATGCTGTTTTGCTGGCATTCTGCAGCCTGAGACCCTTTGAAACTGGCAGCTCCATGCTGTTTTGCTGTGGCGAGCCGGCTGGCTGGCGGCGTGGCTCCAGAGCTTAGTTTTCTAGAGGCTTTGCAGCCCGAGAACCTTTGAACAGTACACTGCCTTTAAACTTGTCCTGGCGCCCTTGCCAACCTTTTGGTATAGGCAGCATCCCGGACCTCCGGCGCCTTTTCGCAGCCTCCCAGTCGCCCGGCAGCGTCTTTCGGCCAGCTGCCGGGCGCCTTCAGAGAAGTTTTCTACTGATTGCAGAAAGTGACGTTAGGCAGTAGCCTGCCAAAAAACTTGTCCCGGCGCCCTTTGCAGCCTTTTGGTAGGCAGCATCCCGGTCCTCCGGCGCCTTTCGCAGCCTTCCGGTCGCCCAGCGCCGTCCTTTGGCCATCTGCCGGGCGGCTTCAAAGATGTTTCTACTGGGTTCGGAAAGCGACGTTACGACGTTAGGCAGTAGCCTGCTTCGGGCGCCCTCACCGAGGTTTTCTGATAGCTTCAGAGATTGACGTTAGGCAGTATAGAGCCTGCCTTCAAATGCTTCCGGGCGCCCTCCGAATGCTTCCGGGCGCCCTCACCTAGGTTTTCTAGTGGCTTCAGATTGCTTCCAAGCGCTTTCAAAGATGTTTTCTAGTGGCTTCAGAAAGCAACATTAAATTACTGCCTTCAAATGCTTGCGGGCGCCCTCCGAATGCTGCCGGGCGCCCTCAACAGAGGTTTGCTAGTGGCTTCAGAAAGGGACGTTAGGCAGTAGCCTGCATTCAAATGCTTCTGGGCGCCCTCCGAATGCTTCCGGGCGCTTTCAAATATGTTTTCTAATGGCTTCAGAAAGCGACGTCAGGCAGTAGCCTGCCTTCAAATGCTTCCGGGCGCCCTCACCGAAGTTTTCTATTGGCTTCAGAAGCGACGTTAGGCAGTAGCCTGCCTTCAAATGCTTCAGGGCGCCGTGCGAATGCTTCCGGGCGCTTTCAATGTTTTCTATAATGGCTTCAGAAAGCGACGTTAGGCAGCAGCCTGCCTTCAAATGCTTCCGGGCGCCCTCAACAGAGGTTTGCTGGTGGCTTCAGAAAGGGACGTCAGGCAGTAGCCTGCCTTCAAATGCTTCTGGGCGCCGTCTGAATGCTTCCAGGCGCTTTCAAAGATATTTTCTAGTGCCTTCAGAAAGCCACGTTAGGCACTAGCCTGCCTTCAAATGCTTCCGAATGTTTCCGGGCGCCCTCAGCGGTGCTTCCGGGCGCCCTCACAGACGTTTTCTAAAGGCTTCAGAATGCAACATTAGGCAGCAGCCTGCCTTCAAATGCTTCCGGGCGCCCTCCGCATGCTTCCGGGCGCTTCCAAAGAGGTATTCTAGCGGCTTCAGAAAGCAACATTAGGCAGTAGCCTGCCTTCAAATGCTTCTGGGCGCCCTCCGAATGCTTCCAGGCGCTGTCACCGATGTTATCTAGTGGCTTCAAAATGTTCGGCCGCCTTCACACAAATTTTCTAATGGCTTCAGACGGCGACGTTAGGCAGTAGCCTGCCTTAAATGCTTCTGGGCGCCCTCCGAATGCTTCCAGTCGCTTTCAAAGATGTTTTCTAGTGGCTTCAGAAAAATGTTTCCGGGCGCCCTCCGAATGCTTCCGGGCGCCCTCAACAGAGGTTTGCTAGTGACTTCAGAAAGGGACGTCAGGCAGTAGCCTGCCTTCAAATGTTCCGGGTGCCGTCGAATGCTTCCGGGCGCCTTCACCGAGGTTTTCTAGTGGCTTCAGAATGCTTCCGGGCGCCCTCACAGAGGTTGTCTAATGGCTTCAGAAAGCGAAGTTAGGCAGTATAGCCTGCCTTCTAATTTTCCGGGCGTCGTCCAAATGTCAGACAGCAACATTAGGCACTAGCCTGCCATGCCTTCAAATGCTTCCAGGCGCCTTCACATAGGTTTTCTAATGGCTTCAGAAAACGACGTTAGGCAGTAGGCTGCCTTCATATGCTTCCGGGCGCCCTCCGAATGCTTCAGCGGTGCTTCTGGGCGCCCTCACAGAGGTTTTCTAGTGGCTTCAGAAAGCAAAATTAGGCAGTAGCGCGCCTTCAAATGCTTCCGGGTGCTTCCGGGCGCTTTCAAAGAGGTTTTCTAAGGGTTTCAGAACAACGTTAGGCGGTAGCCTGCCTTCAAATGCTTCTGGGCGCCCTCCGAATGCATCTGGGCGCCCTCAAAGAAGTTTTGCTTCAGAATGCTTCCCGGCGCCTTCACAGATGTTTTCTCTATAGTGGCTTCAGAAAGCGTACGTGTAGGGGTGGTCGGCGGCACCAGGGCGGTAGCTACCTTATTACAGTAAGTGAGTTTAAAAGAATAAAGTAGAGCAACTACGACAAAAATAGTGAATAGATATGAGTAGATGTGAATACATATGAATAGCCAATAGCCCAATCAACCCGTCTACCTTTCTATGGAAGATACGGTATAGTCTTATGATGTTTGTATACTTGCGCATGGCGCATGGGCAGAAAACAGTGAAATAGCTGCCACGTGAAAAGGCCCTGTGCTTCCAAGCCCTTCTCGCTTGCACTTGCACTTCCGCGGCACATGCAGATCTATGATGTGTAAAGATGTGAAGATATCTGGTTTGAAAGTAGCAGTTGGTTACTGGGTTAAAACTTAAAAAACACAAACTTTGAAGAGTGAGATTCTACAAAAACACAAGTTTATGCAACTGACTTTTCGGGAATTTTGTGAAGTGGCTGAAGGTGAAGCACAGAAGCTCCTGTATTGCACTACCTTCCCGCCACCCCAGCCACTTGCACATGCCTGCCGGCTCACAATGCGCAAGTACCTGTGTCAAACACAAGTTGTCTGTCTTCCAGCAGTATGAAGTCTTTTTCTTTTTTCACCGACTGCCTTTGCCATGCTTGCTAGTGCTAGTGATGTGGCAATCTCGCACCCGTGGACCTTTCATCTGGCTCGTAGCATCGTTCACATCACTTCTTAGTTGCTTGAACTTGGATGGAAGATGATGGAAGCACCTTTGATATGCCAAATCAAAGCGGGGTTGTTGTCTGGATATGTCTGGACACTGAATAAAACAAAATTCATCAGCAAGCTTGCTTCGATGTCATTCTATGTTCTTGATTTTCCTGGAATGGAGCCCGATGAACCACACATCACCAAGGCTCGCCTTCCGCTGGCAAAGGTTCGTTTGCCTGCTTTGCCACCGGTGATCCAACTGACGACGCTATGATAATGTATGAGAATGCTTTCCTTTGGGTGAACTCACTTTGAGGGAAAAACCAAAGGGATCGAATGGAGATGCTTGCAGATAAGGCAACAAACTCCAGGGGAGACTTTGGTGACATAAATTCTGCACGGTTGGGTTGGTTGAGATTCCCTGAATTGCGAATCATGTTGTGTGTTGTGAAGCCAAAACTCAACCTCAAAATCCCATGCTGTCAGTGGGCCACCAGTTTGCCAATCGATAGCACCAAAATGGTCGAGGGATCGCCTTAATACACCCTGCAAAAGCCACCAATCAGATGCCAAACGAAATTGCAATAAATTAATTGAAGTTTTCATATCTGTCATGTTGGCTGCCAATAATATCTGCGCGGCCGTTGGCGTCTTCTTGACAGAACCTCTGAAAAAAAAAACCAGCTTAGTAATCCCCGAAAAGATCCGAAAAGACAGAAAGGTGAAATCAAACTAACATAGTTGCAAACTACTTCGCTGTCATTGTTTGGGGTTACTACCGTCCGGTAATCAAAAATTGCACTTGGAAATCCCAGAACTAA